GGGGGGGGGGGGGGGGGGGGCTACTCTCTCCGATGAGCCATCCCGTGCAGAAAGGAGGAACAAGGATTGGATAGAATGCCTAGAAAGAGAAGGGAAGAAGGAAACGACAAAAAAGAAAGGGATTGGATGGAATGCCTAGAAAAAGAAGGGAAGAAGGAGAGAAAAAAAAAAAGAAAGGAAGAGTAGAAACAACAACGCAATAGTTTGCCCAAATTTCCCGCACGCAGTGGAGTCTCAAAAAAACTCTTCCAAAACTTTCCGCTGGCAGTGGGGTCCATCCGTTAATCGAAGATTTTTTTTTTTTTTTTTTTTTTTTTTTTTTAAAAAAAAAAAAAAAAAAAAAAAAAAAAAAAAAAAAAAAAAAAAAAGGGGGGGGGGGGGGGGGGGGGGGAGAGAAGGCCAGGGGATAGGGTAAGGGAAGAATAGGGAAATCAAGTAAACCAAGCACCCATCTGCTGTTTCTGATTTCATCTCTTTAAAGCTCTACTCTCACACACTTGTTTACCGACTGTCAACCATCATGTTTTATGCATGGGCAAAAAAAAAAAAAAAAAAAAAATCTATGTCACTCATACTCTATCTAAAGGAAGAAAGACAAGAGAATGAATCAAACATGTTGAATAGAAGCAATTGCGAAATGTTTATTAAGTAATCGTATAAATAAGGGACAAGCGCCCTCTTCCTCACTCATGAATGATCAACCTATTGTGTTTCCATTTGCAAATCTTTGCATATCGCTTGCAATAGAATGTGTTTTCGAGTTTTTTCTCTTAAAGGACATAAAAACCCTCCCTAATTTTGGAAAGAGGTCTCCTCTTCATCTTTCTGCTTATACCTCAAAATCGGCTCACGTATGCATCAGCTCATATGGAACACCATACAAATTATGGATCGACCTAATCAATCAATCGAATGAGCAACAAAGTCATCAGCTTTCATTCGCAAACCAATAACTTTTTCATATAAACGCCCGTGCGACTGATAGATCGGCTCGTGCAAACCACTCAAATCGACTGAACAAGCAATCAATCACTAAAAAAAAAAAAAAAAAAAAAGGAATATATATATACATACGAATCGCCGTACGACTGATAGATCGGTTTGTACAAATCAATCGGTCAGTCGCACGAGCAACCAGTCACGTGAACATCAACTTTTCCTCCCGAAGCTCTCTCTTATCAAAGAATACGAAGCGATAGAGAAGGTAGGATAAAAAAAAAAAAAAAAAAAAA